AGAAGAAGAAGAAGAAGAAGAAGAAGAAGAAGAAGAAGAAGAAGAGGAAGAAGAAGAAGAAGAAGAAGAAGAAGAAAAGAAGAAGAAGAAGAAGAAGAAGAAGAAGAAGAAGAAGAAGATAGCAGGAAGGGAAGAATGAAGGCGGGGGGAAATCGGAGGGGGAGATTAACCATGAAAGACGATGGACTCTGAAAAACAAACAGGGTTTTAGAGGGGAGGGGCGTGGGAGGATGGGTTAGCTTGGTGATGGGTATTAAAGAGGGCACGTTCTGCATGGAACACTGGGTGTTATATGCAAATAATGAATCATGGAACACTACATCAAAAACTAATGTTGTAATGTATGGTGATTAATATAACATAATAATAAAAAAAAGGAAAAGAAATAAATATTTATTGAGCATGTGAAAAAAAATAAATAAAATAAAAAATAAAAATCATCCATATACAAAAAAAAAAAAAAGGACGTCACCTTTTCTGGGAAGGTTTCACCATACCAAATTTAGCAATTGAATTTCAAATATAGGATTAGTTTGCACTCGTGTTTATGAGAAGATTCTTAAAAGTTTGGCTTCTCTAGTTTCCTGCCTAGCAAGATAAACTTCTCAGCCAGGGCATCCCCTCTACATGGTTGTGGTTTCCAAAGGGAAGACCATGTGTAGGATGTGGTGGGAACAAGGAGTAGGGGATCTGAAGCATGAAGATACTATATGACTCACAGTGAGCTTCTCCTGGTATCTGATATGGGTAGGATGAAGCATGAGTGGGACATCACAGGAGGAAAGTAGGATCACCTCTTTTCTAGGTGCATGGGGAAAGTTGGGTAAAGAGGTTGTTCATGAGAGTCTTGATAGAACCAATGGAAAGATGTGATTTTTTTTTTTGATTCATTGGTGGCAAAACTTCTTTATTTTTAAAAAATTTTTTATTATGTTCATTAGCCTGCATATAGTACATCATAAGTTTTTGATGTAGTGTTCAATGATTCATTAGTTGCATATAACACCCAGTACTCATCACAACATGTGCCTCCCTTAATACCCATCACCCGGTTACCCCATCCCCCCATCCTAATCTCAAGTGAGAATGTGAACAGATATTCAAGAGTGTTGTGGAATTCTTTCTTTCAGTTCTGTGGTTGCTGCATTTTGGGCTTTGGGATCTATCTCCTGATCCACAACAATCTCAACCTGCTCCCCTCCCTCACACTGGGCAATGTGCTTATCATCGTGGGCTCCATTATCATGGTGGTTGCCTTTCTGGGCTGCATGGGCTCCATCAAGGAGAACAAGTGCCTGCTTATGTCGGTGAGTCTCTTGCAGCAGATGTGGTACCCTAAGTAGAGAGACATGATGCCTTAAGCCCCAGGAAAGATGTTTCTTGGTGGCTAACCTATGGGCACAGGGAAATTATAGGAACATAGGATTGGCACTTTAGGCCAGCCAAATCTGTCTAGACCAATAGTATTTTGCTTCTGACTGGGGTCCCAGGGATAGGTGGAAGAGGACATTGCTATCCTCCTTGGGATTCATTGTGCAGTGTTAATAATGACCCTTGTCATAATTTCCCTTTATGGCATTTTATTTCTTCATGTCTCGTTGAAATCAAGTGTCATCCATCTGCCTAAATGCTTTTCACATTAGTATGTTTTTAGGATTTGAGTCAGAGTCACTAACTGATGGAAAATCTAGTCTCTAGATTCTTCTGAGTACTGTGACCCTCCTAAAATGGCAGAATATGCTTCTCTATCTCAAATCTGCACAAGATACATGATGGTGTGATGACCCAAATTAAGTGAGGACCTAGGTGGCAGCCATTTTGATCTAACGTGAGAGATGCTAGAGCTTTTCAGTTGTTCCCTGTCAGTTAAGTGTCATGAAGAGCATCTTTAGGCTTAGGTTTTGTCTGTAAGCTCTATGAGAGAAGAGTTTTGGTATCTCTAAGTGTACACAGAACAGTGCTTGATATAACAGTGCCACTCCATCCATAGTAAGGGTTCTCAGTCACCTTGGTTCTTCCTTAAGTCATTTGGTTAATCTTCTTTCCCTTATGGGTCAGTTCTTAAACTGGAGCCCAGACATAGAATAAAAAAGTTCTTGTTTTCAGTTCCCAGATTAATGGCAAAATATGGGAGATAATAGACATAAGGAAAAGGCTAAACAGGTTTAAACAGTCAAAATTAATGTTGGGATGAAAAGGTGAAGGAGAATAAGTGAAAATGTATTTTCTGCTGTGTGTGATTAGCATAAAGGGAGTAAGCATCTACAGTTGGAAGTAAATAAGGGTTAGGACTGTGATTAGAATACCTCTTCTCCCCATCTGTACAGGGCTCCTCTCAACTTCCACCATCACCTGTCCCCAACCCCAAACTAGCCCTGATCTTGCAGAAAGGACCAGGCCCCAAACTCTAAAGGCACATAGTTTAGTTTACTGCTTTTTTGCTCAACTCTTTCAAAAAGCTGATGCAAAAATTGCTTCACTGATTCAACAAGTAGTATTGCATACTCATTATGTGCATGGAGCTGTATAGGCACATGGGAAAGGGAGAACAAAGTTAAAGGACAGCTGATCTGCCCTCTAGAGACTTGGAGTCTAGTTGTAGAAAAATGACACATATCCCTCACGAAACAAAAGGCTTATGAAGGCCTGAGCAAGCAGGAATAGGAACTTCTGTACATGTGCAGAGACATGCCTGGATGCTCCCAGGGTGGAGTGGGAGTGAGGGAAGAACTAGGATCAGTGCTATGAGCATGTCTCTGCTTTGCCTCAGTTCTTTATCCTGCTGCTGATTATCCTCCTTGCTGAGGTGACCTTGGCCATCCTGCTCTTCGTGTATGAACAGAAGGTAAGCTATAAAGAACATCTCATTGTTGTATTTCTGACCGTGGAAAAAAAGTCCTGTAATAGAGGCAAAGTGGAAGGATGGAAGAAAGAAATTAATTGTAAATGGGGAGGGAAAAAATTTCATGAAAGATAGCAATTGAATCATGCTTTGAAGGATGAATAGGAAGAGCAGTAAAAACAAGTTTATCTTCCTCCTGCTTCCTTTTCTCCATGTGTTTGGCAGTAGAAAATGTCTGTCTCCATGCCTAAGAGAGCCCATGCTTTGATTGTCTTCCTCTGAAAAACCAGAGTTCTGGAAGGACAAGAGACTATGTACTTCCTGCAATGCTATCTCAGTCTCAGCACTTCTCCCTGTATATAAACTCCCTCTCCTGGCTTCCTTAGCTCTGAGGAGATTATTTGGAAGGGAGGAGCAAATGGAACCACCAGCCATTATTAGATATTGCTTGTTCCTTGAACTCACCTGCTTTTTATAATGTCTTCTCTGCCGGAATATGCCCCGACCAGTTGAATAATTATGTGTCTGAGAGCCTGACTGACAGCATTCAGCGATACCACACGGACAACAGCACCAAGGCAGCATGGGATTCCATCCAGTCATTTGTGAGTACAGATGGAATCCTCCTCAGCTCAGCCCAGACTTAATTTTCCAACCTCAGTGCCTGGAGGCTAAAGGGACGTCGTTTCTTGAAAGGCCCAGAATCTAAGGTCCATAACCCCTAGGTCCAAAATAATGTTTAGCAGTCACAAACAGGAATCAGTCTTATTCTCTACATTCTCTCATCCTTCACATTCTCAGCTAGGCTCATTGTCTAAGCCCTACTAAGATCTAAGGAAGACCCAACATGTCAGACTAAATTCCCTGTGTGCTTAATTTTTTATCTGTAAAATGTGACTAAGTTAAACATGCCCTTTCTATTTCAAGGAGTCTTATGTGAATGAAATGGTATAATGGATTTGAAAATATTTTGTTCTAAGGAGTCATAGTAGTTAAGCCAATTCTGTATTTTCCGCTAGAGTCAGATCTGAAGGGTCTACCTTTTCTCCAAATTCCAGTTTTCCTTTTGTTGACTTTCTAACCATCATGTTTTTGGGGAATTTGGCTTTTAGCTGCAATGTTGTGGTGTAAATGGCACGAGTGATTGGGCCGGTCACCCACCAGCATCTTGCCCCTCGGGTCCACAAGTTCAGGTAATTTTTTGGCAACTTTTCTGTTATTAGCTTCTTTGGTTAAACTTTCAATTATCTTAGAAACTCCAGTCATACAGGACTTAGTCCTCCCAACCAGAAACAAGAAACCTTAAATAAAATAGAGGCCAGGGAGAAAACCCAGGTAACTAGGCAAATTAGACAAAAGTTGTCCAGACAAAAGAAAAAAAAAGGAACAAGCTCATTAGACTAGTGATGCCATCACAAATCTTGCTATCCTAAACTATTACATTAGAGGGGAAAAGTTTATGTGATAGTGACAGAGGATTATATCTACATTTTTTTGAGCAAGAAGTAGGTCTTATGGTTGAAAATGAAAGTTGTAAAGTTGAGGTAGAAAACCTCCCCCTCTTCCTGTTTCTCTGTTCTTCTTCCTTGGAAATGTCAACATCCAGCCCCTTGGTGAAATGAATCATAAGTAAAGGGGTCTGGAGTTGGGGGAGAGAGAGTTGGTAGAACTGTTGAAAGAACCTGCTGACTTAATTCAGACCTCCAGACTACGCCCAGAGAAGAAGCCAAGATTATATTCCAAGATTAAGTTCCTAAATTCCTGTTACCTGGTGTTATCCACCTTGGGATTGTTTGAAAATCTCCAGAAATTTTTAGGTCTATAAAGAAAGACTGAGACACTCACCAACTAGCCCTGCCCTGGAGCTTGGTAGGACCATGATAGATTTAGGTTTCAGCAGAAGCTGAAATGCAACCAGTCCTAGAATTGCAGAGGTTACCTCCCCATTTATTTGTCCCAAGTCAGCAGTGGATGTTTAAAGAACTTAAGGACATCTATTGCCTCTCAGGAGCTAGTTTAACTCTTTGTGTAGACATCTAGGACTTCCACGTTAGGTGCCATTGTGATGATAACAACACCAGAAAAGTCTGTAGTTTAATATTCTCTACTTTATGACTGTTTCTTCATCCACAGAAAGAAAATAAAATAAATGGCCTAAGAAAATAAAATGGCCTAAGTCTCTTGGCATAAGGCAAAATATAAACTATCTTCTGAAATTAACTTCCTGATAAAGTCGAATAATATAGTGGTATCCTTTGTACTTGTAATTTTTTCTAGGGTTGCTATGCAAAAGCAAAACTGTGGTTTCACTCCAACTTCCTGCACATTGGAATCATCACCATCTGTGTTTGTGTGATCCAGGTAAGAACTTAATCGTGGGACTATTGTGAAGATTAAATTAGGTAAGTCAGGTAAAGTTTTAGAACAGTTCCAGGTAGATAGTATATGCTCAATAAATAAGAGTTTCCTCAGTCATGTAGCAAATGATGTCATTACCAATTTAAGGCATACAGAAAATATGCTGCAAGATCTATCTGGTCAACTTATCCCTAAGAGCTATGAGTGCTTCATAGTCAAATTAAAAGTCATCAAGCAGACCCCTACTTTGGTCATTCACTCAACCGGTATGGAAAACTTGTGATGGATAAACATTTTTTGTGAAAAATTGGCCTTGTATGCCAAGCAGGAGCTGATGATAAAAATCATAAACAATTTCCTCCTTGTTTTTCTGCTTAGCATGATAAGTCAGGGGTGAATTGGGGATAGTTTTGTGTTCTTTTTTATTATGTGACATTTCTACTATTTTTATACCCATGTATTTTGGGTATGTCACAGAATAGCTAAGATGTAATCAAGAAGCTCAGAGGGAAATAATTTTTCTCTGCTTGGAAACTAAGGAGTCTCAGGGCACGGGTAGAGATGACTCATTGCACAAAATGTTGACTTGTGCAGTACTTGCCTATACAAGTGACTTCTTAAGGAGACAAAGATGTCCCAACACTCTATCCTTTACTGTTTTGACATCACCCACTAGCATTCTAAAGCTGAAGGAGAGAATAGGGAAGGAATTGGAAGTAATGGCAAGAAGGGTGGTTCCAGCGTAATGGACACTTCCTTTTTCTCTGGGGCTAATCCCAAGGGTGTGGGAGAGATGGCTCCTCCTATGAAGACCTCACATTTTCTCAACTCTTTTCTCAGGTGTTGGGGATGTCCTTTGCGCTGACCTTGAACTGCCAGATTGATAAAACCAGCCAGGCCCTAGGGCTGTGACATGATACTGCCTTGTGCTGGAGAGGCTTATTTCATCTCTGGAAAGCCAAAATCAGTTATTAGCATGAAGTCCTAAATGATCACCTCTTGGCCTGGTGTCTTTGTCCCTCTCTCATCTTTTCCCTGTTTTGTCCCTGTATCATAGAACCAGAAAAGAGGGTATTAGCCAGGCATTTCCCATCTCAGGCACCAGAACAATGATTCACCCACTCATGGGACAGCTATGTCCCTCAAGGAGGTGACACTAATATCTGAGCATTTTTTGGACATGAGAAGCCAAGAGAACCTGCAGCACTAATGGTTCAAGGTCAAAGGATGGGTCTGGGACTTGAATTTTTGCATCTTCTTATTGTCAAATAAGGCTCTAGCCTCTAAATCATGCCCAATCCACTCTCCAAAGCCAAACAAAAGACAAGCTGAAGGGAGCTCTGGGGCCAGACTCATTGTCACAACCCTCTGCTTCCTTTTGGCTGGGCCTGGTCCTTGACTACAGGAATGACAGAGTACTTTCTCCAAAGGGTAAGGTTTCTTGCAACTTCCTTATTAAAGGGCCTCATTGATTTATTCTGTCTTTCCAGAAGAAACTGTCCAGTGATTCATATCCTGACTTCAGCCAATCTCTTAGCCTTTGAGTTACATAGCTATGGAAGAACTCAGCAGAACCAGTATCTCTGGTGGTTTAGCTAATAATCACATTTGTAAGAGTTTTGGTGTTATTTTTCTATCAAATAAGGATTTGTTAATGTACTATTTTATCTCTTCAATAAATAAAATAGCTTATGATCTCAATCATTACATTTTCATTCCTATATCTCAAATATGTTTTCTGTGACTCAGACTGATTGCCCTGCCAGCAAGCCAGGTATATTAGTTATCCATTGTTGCATAACAAATTATTCCAAAACTTAGTGGCTGAGAACATAAATTTATTATCTCACATTTTTTGTGAGTGATGAATCTGGGAGCAGCTTAGCTGAGTGATTCTGGTTCATAATCTCTCACATGACTACAATCAATATGTCAGCTAGGGCTGCATTTATCTGAAGGCTCAAATGGAAAAGGATCTACTTTCAAATTTTTCACATGCCTCTTGGTAGGCCTGTTCTTTGCCACATGCAACTTTCCACAGGGTTGCCTTATGACATCACAGTTGGTTTCCCCTATTACAAAAGATCCAAGAGAGAGCATGAAATACAGCACCCCAAACAAGCCATAATCCTTCTATAATCTAACTCAGAAGTGCCATCACATCAATCCTGCCATATTATATTCCTTAGAAGTGAGTCAAAAAGTTCAGCCCACACTCAAGGGCAGGAGTTTACACTGGGTGTGAATACCAGGGAGCGGAAATCATTGGGGGCCATCTTAGAGGTTGCCAACCACATGTTTTTTGGGCCAGAAAAAGCTTAATTGGATTGTCTATAAGCTAAATTAAATCATCTAATAACCATATGTAATAAGGCATAAAATCAGAACATATCTAATATAGAACCAAATGTAGAGAAGGCAGAGAAAAGGACAGAAGAATTTGGTTTTGTTCTTGAAGTTTTGTGTATCTCCCACCTCCCTTAAAGGAAAATTGGTCATTTTAGTGGTAGTTATAGGGAAACCTTCGACACTATGTTTCTCTTGGGATAAAATTCAGATTTCTTATTATATCTACCAGGACCTATATGATATGCCCCACTCTTAGCCCTCCAGCCTCACCTCTTACTGTTCTTACCCTTTTATTCTAACTTAGGTCTATTGAAGTTTATTTAGTTGCTCTGAGCTTTATTTATACGGACTTATTTTTCCCGTTTATCCAATGATCCCTTTGGATAATTCCTTTGCCCTAAGGAAGGTTTCCCTAGTACTACTAAGTTTAACATCTATTGAGGTCTTTATAAGTATGAGATAGTGTGCTAAGAGCTTTCCACACATCTCCCCATTTAAATCTTGACAAAATGTCTTTTGTGAGTACCTCCGTAATGCACTCATAGAAACTTCACAGATCTTATTACATTTTATTTTAATTGCTATTTATTTGTCTCTATTAATTATTGGTCTAAGTTAGAAAAACAACGAGAAAAGGTAAAAATCGACTATAAATAAAGATTGTGTCATAACCACAATAGAGTTGAAATTTTAAAACACATGAAACTATATGATAAAAAAATCTAGGCCAATCATTTTGAAAAGAAAATGTAGTTGCTATAAACATTTTTCTAAAATAATAAGAACCATCCAAATTGACTCAAATAGAAAAAGGAGATTTCTGGTAAGATAGATGATATTACTAGACTAAACTTCCACTATAGACAACTAAAGTGCTAGATAAAAGCTTTAAAACATTTTATTAATGTTTTATGGAATGAAAGTAAGGAATACTCAAGCCTGAGACTTTGTGATGATGGGAACCAGAGAGGTAAGAGGAATTTGAGGAGATTTGCCAAACTAGATGAACTTGGATTTCAATTTTCATGACACATGGAGGTACATGGAAAATTTCAGGGTCTAAGGTTGAGAGTCTAAGCAGAAATCTTTCCTCTTTTAAGTCAGAGGCACCAAAGTGCTATACCTTAGTATAAGAGTAAACTAGAAATACCACTCACTTTCACAAAAGATTACATGAAAGTCTGCAACTTGGCAATTTAGCAGAGGAAAGCAACATCCCTAAAAAGTTGAATCCATAATCTGGCCATTATGTTGACTTAAAGTGAAAACTTAAAGTGTCTGAGTCATCTGCAAACTCTCAAACTAAAATTTAGTTTAAAGTAGTCCCAAACAAGAAGTTATCCCAGGCTCTGGCAGAAGCAAAATGCACACACTTTCTGAATGAGCCCACAATAATATCAGGTCTGTTGTGATAAGCACTGGGTGTTGTATGCAAGTGATGAATCACTAAATTCTACTCCTGAAACTAGTATTATACTGTATGTTAACTAACTAAAATTTAAATAAAAACTTGGAAAAAAATAATAAATAATAATAATACCAGGTCTCCATGAATCTCAAAAAGCAAATTTTTAATTAAATTGAACTACTCACAATTAAAATTCACTAAAAATATGAGAAAACAAGGCACTATGAGCCAAGGGAAGCAACAAACAATAGGAATGGACCCACAAAACTTCAGATATTATACTTACTTTAAACAAATATATATAACCATGTTTTTTTTATATTTAAGAAAATAAAGATCAGCTTTAAAATATGTGCAGAGAAAAACTGAAAGAAAGAGTAATCATTTTTGAAAGAGGAAAATATAGTTGAAATTTTTTAAATTTAAATGAACATGTTTAAAAACATATTTGATACAAGGAAAGCCAAATTAATAAACAAGAAGATTTATATGAATAAATTAATCAGAATGTAGCTATAGTGGGTTGAACTTTGCCCCCAAAAAGGTATGTCCAAATTCTAACCCCTAGTACTAGTAAATATGATTTTATTTAGAAATGGGGTCCTTGTGGATGTGATTAAATTAATGATCTTGAGATGAGATCATCCTATATTTAGGGTGAGCCCTAAATCCAATGTCTTCTGTCCTTAAAGAGAAAAGAGGGATATTTTTAACTCAGATATAGAGAAGACCCATAGGGCAAGGCCATATGAAGACAGAGGCAGAGATTGGAACAATGTATCTAAAGCCAGGGAACACTTAAGATTGCCAACAACTACCAGAAGGTAAGAGAGTCATATGGAACAAATTCTTCATCAGGGCATCCAGAAGGAATCAACACCTGGAGACACCTTGATTTTGGACTTTTAGCCTTCAAAACTATGAGAGAATGATTCTCTTTTGTTTGAAACCACCAATTTGTGGTGCTTTATACCAGCAGCTCTGGGAGATTAATACAGTGGCACATAGAAAGAGTGAAAAATATGAATGCAAGATTAAGAAATGATGAGGACAGAGTTATAGAGTCTAATATAAGTGTAACTGGAGTTCTGGAAAGAGGAGATACAAAGCATAGTAGACACAATACTTGAAGTCATAATAGTTGAGAATATTCCAGAACTGATGGAAGATACAATCCACAAATAAAAAGTCAAATGAATTACTTTCATGAGGGAAAAAAAAAAAAGAAAATCACACCTAGCCATAGCATGGTGAACCTGTGTGTGTGTGTGTGTTGGGGGGGCGGGGATTTAAGAACAGCAATAGAAGTTGTAGTTCTAGTAATAGGCAGTAGAATGGAATATTAGAGCACCAAGGTTACCTATGTTGAGAAAGTATGAACTACTATCACAAATACTTGTCTTTTGATTCTTTGTCAGGACACACCATTATGAGTGGGAGGAGTCATGTGGAAGACATTTATATTGAACCCCACCCTCAGCTAGAACAAACCAGAGCTTGACCCCCTATAGTTACTTTAAACTCTGATAACTACAGAATGGGATGCTGTGGTTTTGAACCAATTAGGAGAGGAAAAAGAACAGGAAAAGCAAAAGGAAACCTCATGCTGTGATAAGACCAAATCTCCCATGTCTTTGCACATCAGCTAAGCAAGGTCTAGATGGACCCTCAGAACTTAAACTTGATTTGAAGTCATCCCAACTAAACATACCACAGAGAACTGAAAGAAGCAAACCCCAAATCTCTCTGTAATATTGAACTAGGTCCTGGAACTCTCTAAGCAACAGAAATTGACAACAGGCCTAACAGCAGTTCCAGGCAAGGCTTTTCAGATACATGTTTTAGACTGACTATGATTACCATGATATAGAAGTAAATCATAAACTTTAAAATTTCTACCAGGAATAGGAAATCATAAAATAAAAAATCACAGACTTTAAAAAGAACCAAATAACATCTAGAGATGAAAAAAAGCAATAACTGAAGCTAAAAACTTTAATTCGGTAGAAGATTGAATACAAACAAAAGACAGGATTTGTGACTTAGAAGATAGAATAGAAAAAAATATTGAGAACACAGCACAAATATGTAAAAATATAGAAAATGTAGAGAGGGTGAGAGATGTAGAAAATACAGTTTGAATCCATTTGATTAGAGTCCTAGAATGAATGGAGAGAATAAATGGGCCAAAAAAAAAATATTTGAAGGGAATATGATTGAGAATTGATGAAATACCCCAACACACAGATTCAAAAGGTCCACTTAATCTCAAGAAGGTTAAATAAAAATAAATCCACATTCTTGAGTCATAGGAAATTGAAGAAAACCAGAGACAGACAAAAACCTTAAAGCAGTCAGAGGGAAAAGAAAGATTATCTTTGAAGAATGATAGATTAATCATTGACTTATCAGTAGTAATTCTCCTTAGAAGAGTGTGGACCTCAAAATGCTAAAGTTGAAATAAGAATGTTCTTAGAGAAAAACTAAGACTAAATAGCCAAGAGAATTTGTAATCATCAGACACTCACTAAAAATTCTAAAGGATAAATTTCAGGCATAAATAAAGTGATCTCAGATGAAAAATCAGAAGTACAAGAAAAATCAAGGAGAAAAAAATGGTTAAATACATAGGCAAATGTAAACAACCATTGATTCTAGAAAACAATTATCATAATGCATTGTTTGGGTAAAACCAAGAGGTAGTTTAAAAATATTAGATAACAGCAAGTCAAGAAGAGGATAAATGGACTTACAGTATTTATTGTTTATCTAGGAGGGAGGTAAATATTTTATAAATCCATACTTTGAAAAATGAAGTGTACATGTTATAATTTCTAGGGTAGTCACCACAAAAAAGAAACAACTTTTTAAACTTTCAATAGAATAATGATAAAATAATATTTAGTCAGTAAAAGAAAAGTCAAGAGAGGAAAGAAAACTGTGA